TTTTTTTTAAATGAGATTTCTTAAGTGTTTCTTAGATATAAAAAAAAGTCAACCAGCTTTTTTTGACCATAATTAAAAAAGTGTATATTTCAATAAATGCAATGAAAAAAATTAATAAAAAAATTAATAAATTTAAAAATTAAAAAAATACTGTAATTTCCTGACTATTGAGCGCACCCGAATAAAAGCCTGCGCCCACTAAATAATAAAAAACTTAAAAATTTTGTTCATTTACAGGTGCTGGTCATAAAATTAGAATATCGTGTAAAAGTTGATTTATTTCAATAATTCCATTCAAAAAGTGAAACTTGTATATTATATTCATTCATTACACACAGACTGATATATTTCAAATGTTTATTTATTTTAATGTTGATGATTTTAACTGACAACTAATGAAAACCCCAAATTCAGTATCTCAGAAAATTAGAATATTGCTTAAGACCAATTAAAAAGCTTTTTTTTTTTAGAAATGTTGGCCAACTAAAAAGTATGAACATGAAAAGTCTGAACATGAAAAGTATGAGCATGTACAGCATCAATACTTAGTTGTGGCTCCTTTTCCCTGGATTACTGCATCAATGTGTTGTGGCATGGAGTGGATCATTGTGTGTCACTGCTCAGGTGTTCTGAGAGTCCAGGTTGCTCTGGTGCCTTCAGCTCTTCTGAATTGTTGGGTCTGGTGTATCACATCTTCCTCTTCACAATACTCCATAGATTTTCTATGGGGTTAAGGTCAGGTGAGTTTGCTGGCCAGTTAAGAACAGAGACACCATGGTCCTTAAACCAGGTACTGGTAGCTTTGGCACTGTGTGCAGGTGCCAAGTCCTGTTGGAAAATGAAATCTGCATCTCCATAAAGTTGGTCAGCAGCAGGAAGAATGAAGTTCTCTAAAACTTCCTGGTATACGGCTGCGTTGACCTTGGACTTCAGAAAACACAGTGGACCAACACCAGCAGATGATATGGCACCCCAAACCATCACTGGCTGTGGAAACTTGACACTGGACCTCAAGAAACATGGATTCTGTGTCTCTTCTCTCTTCTTCCAGACTCTGGGACCTTGATTTCCAAAGGAAACATAAACTTTACTTTCATCAGAGAACATAACTTTGGACCACTCAGCAGCAGTCCCAGGCGAGACGCTTCTGATGCTGTCTCTTGTTCAATAGTGGCTTGACACAAAGAATGTGACAACTGAAACTCTTGTCTTGCATATGTCTGTGCATGGTGGTTCTTGAAGCACTGACTCCAGCTGCAGTCCACTCTTTGTATATCTCCCCACATTTTGGAATGGGTTTTGTTTCACAGTCCTCTCCAGGGTGCAGTTATCCCTGTTGCTTGTACACTTTTTTTTCTACCACATCTTTTCCTTCTCCTCTCCTCTCTATTAATGTGCTTGGACACAGAGCTCTATGAACAGCCAGCCTCTTTAGCAATGACCTTTTGTGTCTTGCCCTCCTTGTGCAAGATGTTACTGGTTGTCTTCTGGACAAATGTCAAGTCAGCAGTCCTCTCCATGAACGTGTAGCCAACGGAACTAGACTGAGATCATTTAAAGGTCTTTGCAGGTGTTTTGAGTTAATTAGCTGATTAGAGTGTGGCACCAGGTGTCTTCAATATTGAAGCTTTTCACAATATTCTAATTTTCTGAGATACTGAATTTGTGGTTTTCATTAGTTGTCAGTTATAATCATCAACATTAAAAGAAATAAACATTTGAAATATATCAGTCTGTGTGTAACGAATGAATATAATATACAAGTTGCACTTTTTGAATGGAATTACTAAAATAAATCAACTTTTACATGATATTCTAAATTTATGATCAGCACCTGTATAGGCCGTGCTCGTCTATATGCAGCGGGTGTCCACATTGTAATATGAGATATTTACGCAGAAAAATTTGTAAAACTTTTAATTAAATACGTACCGTAACATACACAAATACGTTCAGTAAATGTTTTTTTTAATCTGAACAGTGCCTGTAACACAACTGGTAAAAAAAATAAAAATACAGTAGCCTATCAGGAAGTCATTGATCACTATCTTCATCAAACGTGATCAAAAGTTACTCTGCGCATGCGGAGGAATCCCCCCTCCCTGTGATGGAGGTGGGATTCACCCCTTCTGTCCTCGACTCCCCATTTTAGTGGTCCGACTGGGGACTGTTCGATAATTTCATTGGTCAGATTTTTCCTAACCTTTATTTATACAGGTAGTCTCAATGAGTCACGAGGACCCACCCCACAAGATAAGCGTGTATTGGGCAGCTATGTGAGTGCTCGGGTGTAACGAGACTAAATGTTTTGGCGGCAGGAAGCTTGTTAGTGCATCAAAAAAAACATAAATTAGCCGCAGCATTGTATAAGCCACAGGGTTCAAAGCGTGTGAAAAAAGTAGCGGCTTATAGTCCAGAAATTATGGTAAGTTTGACAGTTTTTCTTTAAAATTCAAGCAAGTGCATTAAGTGGAAGATAATAATTCCCTTAACAATAAGTGAAAAAGAAATTAAGAAGTGAATAAACCCATTTCTTATAAATAAATCAATTGTTGAACTGAAAAGGAAGGTTCAACTTTCTGTCTTCCTGTCCCTTTAAAAACATTAAATAATGTACAAGACTCACCAAGACTTCCTTCTGAGCTTCTTCGTGGTTGGTTTCCTTTTCATTGAGTTTCAATGTCAGGTCTTGGATCAGGACTTTCATTGAAGCAACTTCCTGTCTTAGTTTTTCGATTTCCTCCTGATGCTGACTCTCTCTCCTCTGCAGCTCCTCACATTTAGCAGAAAGATCTTCCTTCATAGTCTCAAGGGTCTTAATTTGTTCCCTTCCCTCATTAACCAGTTTTTCCATGTCCACCTTGTCTGCTCTCATTTCCTGGACTTGTCTCTCAAAACTGAGACTGTTTTTTCTGAGGACCTCCATGTCTTGTGCCATCTCCTGCCCTTTTGTTTTCAGATCCTCAGTCTCTCTCCTTCTGTCTTCTTCATTCTTTTGCAAATCTAAAACCAGAGAATTAAGGTGAGTTTTCTCTTCTCGTAGAGTATTTGCCTCTTCAGCTTGGAGTTTCCAGTGGTCCCTGTCGTCCTCTGACAGCTTCCTCTTTTCCCTCTCTTCATCTATTCTTTCTTTCACCTCCTTCAGCTCTGCTTCCGTTAATATGAGGAGACCTTGAACTTCATCTGACTTTTCCCTTTCAGCTTTGATCCTCTTTCCAAACTCTTCCCCCTGTTCTCTGTACTCTTCCTCCTGGGTGAGAAGTAATCGCTGCAGGCCTTCTTTCTCTGCCACAGCAGTCTCAAACTGACTCTGTAGGACCTTGAGACGAGATCGAAGAGAAGAGGAGGCAGCAGAATTTGTCAGGCTGATCTCGTGCTTCAGACTGTTTGGTTTTCCCCTCCTTTCTTGTTCTTGGAGATGATGCTGCTGAGGTTCAGGACTGGGCGCAGGTGAGGGATTGATGCTGTCACCATCCTGAGAGTCACTCACTTCGTGCACGTTGGGCCCTAAGGTGGCGAGCTCTGCCTGCAGAGTACTGATGACCTCATGAAGGCGCTCCTCTTCTTCCTGCTTTTCCTGGCGCACTCTGGAGATTTCAGACTGAAGATGTTCGACCTGGGAGCGTCGATCCTCAAGCTCAACCTCCAAGACCTTTAAGAAAGAATAACAAAGTAAAACATTTTTAAGACGGACTAAACTTAGTGCGTACAAATATTGTATATTTTCAGTGTGTATGTACACGGACGTTGTCACTCCTGGCACTCTCCAACTCCTGTTCTAGTCTTTGGATCTCACAGTTCAGATGGTCAATCTCCTGGTTCTTCTCCTGAAGAAGAGCTGCAGAAAGGCTTTGTTCCTCAGAGTCTTCCATCTCAGCGTGTTCCTCTTTGTCCTCATGGAGTATGGTGAGGGCCGACACTTTCTCCTGTACGTCATAAACACAGGTTAAGATGCAATCATTCTTCTTAACAGAATGGACAACAGACATTTAAATATTCATTCAAAAGTTGGTTTAAACCATAAAACTGACCAAGCAGCAAGTTATTATTTAAACATTAGAAAACATAGTAGACAAACAAGTTGCAAATGAACAACTTATATTATAACAGATTATTTTTAATTGTGTTGAACTATCTAAACTAATTAAACACTACATTTCAACTGTGTCGCCGATTTTTTTTTTCAACCTTCAACCAAGAAGGAGGAACTACTCCCGCATTTAATACATCTGTTTAAAATAATAAAACAAGTCTTACGTTAAGAGCAGAAATTTGTTCTTGGAGCTCTTGAACGTGCGCCGCATTCTCATTCGTTAGTAGTTCCAGCTGAAGTGTGAGATGTTTTAGTTCAACTTCTTTAATGCTCAAGTCTCTCTGAACATTCTCCAACTGGCCAATCAGAACTTCAACCTAAGAAATAAAACAGCACTTGTTAAAATTGAAACATAATAATTAATATGGACAACATTAAGACTAGATCCTTTTGAACCATGCAATAGTTTTCTACAGTGCACTATAAAACAATAGCATTTCTAATATTACAATTTTTTTATTATTATTAAAAATTAATTGAAAAATTGAAGTCATTCCCATTTAGACCAACAGGGGGCAGTGCTGTCAAACTTGTGATTTGACTTCACGCTGCATTTCTGCTCAAATCCTCTCTAAACCAGTTTTACAGAAAATGGGACAAACCTCTTGCTCTTTGCTGTGCAGATTCTGCTGAGCAGTGTCCAAGGCATCCCTAAGCTCCTCAGTGGGGTCACGAACGTTGTCATGGTAACAATGTTTCGTCTCATCTAGTTTGGACTGCAGAGCTGAGATTTGAAGCCTGCTGGACAGCTGCTGCTGCTCTAGAGCGAGTTTATCCTGATGGAGGAGAAGGCGATCAGTGAGGAGAACGGTGCACGCTGAGACAGCAATAATCTGAAGGTGTGTTGTTCTTACCTGTGTGAGCTCCTGCTCTCTTAACTTCGCTTTGTGCAGTTCTTGTTCCAGCTGACTGACATTTCGAACGCTCTCAGCGCTGTTAAGGAGTGCTTGTTCCAACTCTCTGATTCGCCCAGCTAGCTTGTCTATCTCTTCGTTTCGTTCAGTAAGATCTCGCTGGGCTTGCTGATTGGCTGCAAGCAAAGAAGCGTGATCCTCCGTTTTCTCTTTGAGATTCGTCTGTAGGCTCTCCACCTGCAGAGGCAGAGAGAACATTAGTTTGCACAACTTTCCAGAGCTTAGTGATGCAAAGTGATTGGTAGATATGAATTACTGTTCAGATAAATAAGCCATTCCAAATCTGCAGCCAATCATGCAAAGACTGAAGGTAAAGTCACTCTGAAGCAAAATGAACAGACTAAAATACCACTCTAATGTGAGAAATAACTAATCTAATATTAGCTAAGGGATGATGGGAAATAATTCATTTGAAAAGCACAATTAGCAGGTAAAGACTACGAATGATTGCAAATAAAAAAAAGTTAAAACATGCACAGCGTCGGTGAGAAACTACGAGAATTATGCTACAATTAGATGTCATACCTGCAGAACCAAGTCTTCAAACTACAGCAATCCATTCAGCAGAGAGACAAACACATGGCAATAGTCAGGCTCGTTCGCAAACAGACATTGCATCATCACTTCAACCTTTTCTCACCACACCATTTACAAATCAGTTGCCCGATTTATAATCCAATTAGTAAAACGCTAAAAAATACAAACACGTAGAAAGAACACACACAACCTCAAAATGCAACCTATGTGAACTTTACGCACTGTAACAAGAAACTGAAATATTTAGAATGAAAAGATCTAGAAACAAATTCTTATCGCTTAAAAAAAAAAAAAAGTTAAATTAAACAAAATGTATATTCGCGTCTTTTTTTGGTCACATGGCGATGCCTGCAATAATTGGTCAAACTGCCACTGATGCCTTCAGTCACACCTCTGCAGACTGCATCATCATCAGGGCTACGTGATCCAACCACAAACACAAATACAGTCTCATGGATAATAACTTGGTGGGCTTATGAAATTGCGATATTTGCATTTAGATTTTTATACAGCTACATATCCTATTAAGATAACATCCCTCACCCTGTGTCCTTTGTTATCTACGTTTGCTGTCTGTTTGAGTTGGGCTTCAAGCCTGCGGATCTCCTGCTGGAACTCGTCTCGTTCGTGTTCACGCTCCACAGCCTGTTCCTATTTGCAAGAAAAATTATGTAAAAGACTCCAATGCATTAAAAAGTAACAGGAGAAGGGCTGCCCTTTGAAAAATACATATACAGTAGTCCCTCGCTGCTTCGCGGTTCATTTATCGCGGACTCGCTCTATCGCGGTTTTTCAAAATAAGATTGGACATGACACACAATTGGCTGATTGATGGATGAACCGCACAATCAGCATGGAATTTTTATTTAAAATTATTTAGCACATTTGTGCAGCCCAGAGCTGAAGAAAAAGCTTCCTTACTGCAGGTAAACTTCTTGCTGTAGCTGATCTCCATGCAGAGCATACAAGTGGGCGTGGCCAAGAGCGCTTGCAGGTGGCAAAGAGCAGAGGAGGCAGGAAGCTGAAACCATGACATTCTGTGTCTTTTAAAGCGCTTAGAGTTTAGAAACTTTGTTTAGAATATTGCAAGAGTGTGGGAAGGGTTTAAAACTCCTTAATATCTACCTACCTACCTATCTATCCATCCATCTACCTATCTATATCTATCTATATATATATATACATAAACACTAAAATAAACTACTACTCATTACTTGTACTATTATTCCTACCTACCTACCTACCTACCTATCCATCCATCCATCCATCCATCTACCTATCTATCTACCTACCTATCTATATCTATCTATACATAAACACTAAAATAAACCACTACTCATTACTTGTACTATTATTCCTACCTACCTACCTACCTACCTACCTACCTACCTACCTACCTACCTACCCACCCACCCATCTATCCATCCATCCATCCATCCATCCATCCATCCATCCATCCATCCATTTCTATCTATATATATATAAACATGAACACTAAAATAAACTACTACTCATTATTTGTACTACTATTCCTACTTCGCAGTTTTTCACTTATCGCGGGGCTTCAGAGTACAGGTCCCCTGCGATAAACGAGGTATATAATAATAAAAGCCCTGTAGACATGTTATGATCTGCAATTAATGGAATAACTATTTGTAAGTGTCAGAAGGCGTTAGCGACCAGGTTCTGGGTTAGGGAATTATTAACAAGGCTAATTTGTCAATACAGTGGTCCCCGATTTATCGTGGGGGATCCATACCCTGAAGCCACACAATATTCTAAACAATGTTTCTAAACTCTAAACTCTCTAAAAAGGCACAGAATGTCAAGATTTCAGCTCCCTGCCTCTGCTGCTCTTTGCCACCTGCAAGCGCTCTAGGCCACGCCCACTCCTCCGCTCTGCACGCTGAACATCTGATCAGCTGTTTAACTGCAGTAGTAAGGTGCTAGATAATTTTAAATAAAAATTCCATGCCGATCGTGCAGCTCATCCATCAATCAGCCAATTGTGTGTCATGTCCAATATTATTTTGAAAAACCGCGATAGAGCGAATCCACGATAAACAAACCGTGAAGTAGCGAGGGACTACTGTAATTTACATTCGACGTAAAAGGATTTTGAATTGAACCCAGTTTAAGCTTACCTCTATAAACTGTCTGTTGTGTTTCAACTGTTTCTCGAGAGCTTGCACGTGCTGACTGAGGTCTTCAGTGTGGGTCTTGTGGTGCAGCTCTTTCTCCAGGTCTTTGGCTTCCTGATCTTCAAGCTCCCTCTCCAGGGTCCTGAGGCGCTTTGACAGAGAACTGTGGTCTTTCTCCGCCTGCCGCTGCAAATCCAGCTTTTCTTGGGTCAAACGCTCCGTCTCTGCCAACAAAGCTTGGAATAAAAAAAGCAAGTTTAAGAACAGCTTTTATATAAAGTGATGACATTAGACAGTATTTAAACACCTTCTGTTGCGCATAGTTTATGACACGGCACGCCAGTAAAATGTGCTAAAAGCTACTGAAAAGGCAGCTTTATAAACAGCAATCTTACACAGCACTGCAAACTCCTCCCCACCTTTAACTCACACATTCATACGCTTCTCTGACCAACAAACCTGCGTCAGGATCTAAATCTGACCCAACGGTCAACGGAGAAAAGCCACATCTGAGCACAGATATTACATAAGGGTTTGGTCATTTGAAAAAGTCATGTAAAATTTTAAACAGACTCAATAGTTTTTATTTATTTATTTTATTCTGCTCACCTTTTTCCCTCTCCCCAAGTCCAGCAGAAAGATGCTCCTTCTGACGCAGGAGAAGTGCGTGCTCCTCACTCAGATCCTGATACTTCACTCGGAGGCTGTCCAACTCTGCGGTGAGGCTCTGCGTGTGGTGCAGCTTCACCTTCAGGCCTTCCAGTTCCTCCACTAGCTTTTCTTCTTGAGCTTCTTTCTGCTGCAAAGACTCCTCCAAGGCAGCTTTTTCAGCCACATAACCCCCAAGAAGCCCTGAACGCATCACGTAGATACAGCAAGTTGAAGTGAAAGCCCAAAGAGGAAGCGAAGACTTAAACTGTATGAATGCTCCATGTGAAACAACTAAAAGAGCGTGTCAACAGTCAGCATTGTGACATTTATTAATCACCTTCTGCTTTGTGGAGCTCCAGCTGGAGCTGAGCCTTCAGCTTTGCCTCCTGATCAAGCTGCTTCATCAGTAGTTTGTGTTGTTCAACAAGTTGGGTGGTGTCTTCTATGCCTTGTGAGAACTTCTCCTCCAAAGAAAGATGAACGCTGCGAGTCTGCTCCAACTGAAGTGACAAATTCACAGTCAGTGAAGAAATAAAACTGTAAAAGTAAGAAAAGTACTTGGACATTTTTTTTTTGTATGAAAAGTCAGTAAATCTGTGGTTTTACCTGTGTGTTTGCTTGGTTTAACAGATCTAGCAGTGTGTCTACAGCGTGCCGTAACCTCGCACAAGCTGTCAGAACCGACTCTTCTCCTCCAGGACTGAGCTGAGAATCTGAGACCAGAAGACTCTCACAGAGCAGCTGGGTCAGCTCTGCTTCCTCTGATGTCACGTCTGCAACTGAAATACCTGTGGAGGGGGAAAAAAGATGTATTTTTTATCAGTTTATGTACAAATACTAAAAAAATCTTAGAGTCTAATCATTTGTATTAAACTATTAACTTCAGTCTAACAACAATGTGAATCAGGACGTGTGGTGGTGTTTCAACTTCAGCACCTTCATAGATCGGAGTGAAGAAATGAACAAACCTGACTCCTGGGCATCTCTGTTGGCTGCTGAGCTCCTCCGTCGGGTCACGGGCTCATTTTTTGTTGTTCGGATGTTGATCTTTTGTCCAATCAGGTCTTCTGTTGCCGATACGCTGCGGAGCATCTCGACAAGAACTTTACTCAACTTTTCATTTGCATCGTGGAGTCTGTGCCTACGGAAAAAACAAAGTTTAATGGTTTGAAATAGTTTATTTTATATTGAAACTTAAGACTATAAAATCTGCAATGAATATGATTTTAAACATAAAACACAAAATTGAAATCTTTTAAATTACTGAGCTCAATTTAACTCATCATTAACATGACCATTTCTAACCAGACACTTTTTAAAACGTACTCAACTTTTTTATTTAAATTAATTATATACATGAAATAATGTACATAAGTTAACTCACTCTTCCTCTTTAGCAGCCTGCAAGTCATCAGTGAGCATTTTCAGAAGGTTGCCCCCCTCTTGGCTCTCCCGCTCCCTTCGTTGAAGGAGGGTGTCCATGGTCTCCATCTCTGCATGTTTTCCTTGCAGCTCTTCCTGCAGACACCCAACCTCTGCACGCAGCTGGAAGGAGAAAAAATAAACAGATAGGAGAAAATTAAAACCCACTGCTCCTCCTTGGGAAATACCATTGTTCAAAACTAATTTAAAAGCAAACACTCCAGTATAATCATCGGGAGTTTTTGGCAGTGAAATGTTTAATTACCACAGAGTCAGAGCAGCAGTGATGTGAGACAACTTTTGGATGTGTTGGAGTACTTTAAGAACATCCTTAAAGATCTATGCTGATTTCTCCTACCTTTCCTTCCACCACCTCTGTCCTCTCCATCTGGTCTCACCCTGTGTTCCCTCACTTTCCCTCAACCCTCAAACCCATCTTGACCAGCCACCTGCCTCAACCAAACAATGCGGCTGCCATGACAACAGCCCCCTCCCATCCTCTTTACGTTCAAGTGCCAACTGAGATGGGAGTGCATGTTAATATCATGGAAACAAATAAAAATGCTGACATTATTTGTTTTTTTGATTGTAAATTGAAGACAGATTTACAGAACTCGACTCGTTAATATCTCAATCTCTTTTACAAGCCACGGTCTGACACAAAGTAAAATAAAATGTCAGCCTATTGATGTGCCACTTTTAGAGAAAAACCATTTCATCACCGTTGAGTCGCAGACATTCAAACTATTCCAGTTTATAGATATCTTGATCTGACTATTAAACCTTCTGATTCTGTTTTTAGAATCACTTTGACATTACAGTATTATTTTCTGACCAATTAACTGCATCCTTCCAACTCTAACAATGTGCAACACCCCATCATCCAGGCCTTTAATTTGACTGTGCAGTATAAAGCCCTGTGAGAACTGTGCAACAGGCCGGTATTAAATGTAGGAGTGCAGTCGATACCTGGGACACCACAGCATCCAGTTGCTGCAGCTGGACAGTGAGCTGGCTCATTTTTCTTGTGTAGCTCTCTTCCTTTTCCTGCTGTTCAGCTGTGAAGCTCCGCCTCATGTCTTCAAGCTCCGCCTCCTTTTGCTCATCAAGCTCCTTCTTCAAAGAGAGGTGGTATAAATTATTGGATTAAAATATGCAGAGAAAACGGTGGCAGTACACTTTAAGTTCATCTCTTAGCTCTCCGCTGGTCGGCTACACTCTTGAACATTTCAGACGCTCAAACATCAAATGTCTATTTAAAGACACTCCTGCCTTAAAACCTTTTACATCCGAGGATAAAAAGCTTAGATCCATTCCATTTAGCCATTGTTCGGATGCAGCGAAAGAAACACATGCACGTCCCAGAAGCACACAGATTGAGAACAGACAGATGGACGTGAATACTTTCACATATATGAGGACAGGATTATGAGAAAACTGGGTTTGAATAAAGCTCAAATGGGACACGGTCCAAACGAGGGAACTAGGACTGAACTGGTGCAGCTGGAGCTTAAGGAGGGCATGACCAACGCAATAAACTACAGCTTGAAATAATCCAATGCTATTACATGTTTCCAACAAGCAGTCAGTGTTTAATACACAATATATAAAAAATAAAATCCTTGTACTTTCCACACAGTACTTACACAAGAAAAATACATAAATCAAAGCTCCCAGAATGTTAAAATATTAACATAACTTCTTAGCTAATTATATTTTTCTCATTTCTCGTACATAACTCAGTTTCTTACATTCAGCTGATTAATCCTGTCCTGCAGCTGCTTGTCTGATTGGACTTTAAGGAGCTCCACCTCTTTCAGGAAGTGCTGCTGTTGCCTTGACGACTTTTCTTCAAGCTCCCTGTGACAAACCTCCAATTCACCGGCTGAAGTTCCCTTTAGCTCCTACAGCAGAAACATGAGTTTCCTTCAGTGCTACAATTTGCAACACACCAAATGGCCCCAGTTTTAATGCATTTTGTGAAAAGAATCCACACGTCTACACATAAACCATTATAGAGAATAAACAATGACTAATTCCCTCACTAATCTGCTGTAAAAGACAACCATTAAAGATCACTTTCAGCTCAAAACACTTCCTCTGCATGCACTGTTCTGCATATACCGGTAGTCACACACTGTAATGCACATTTTGTAACACACACCTGAAGGTGGAGCTGGTGCCGTTCAATCAGCTGCTCTTTTTCAGAAATGTACGTCTGTGAGAGTTCCTGCAGAGCAGCGCTGTGTTGCTGTTCAAGCTCCAAAACCTGAAAACATCACATCATTAAAAATAAATAAATAAATGTATTCAAGCACAAGGAGTAAAGAAAATGTTTCGACTTTAAGCATAAAAAATTTAAGTGACAAACAATATAAATTATACTATTACAACATATTGTCTCAATATTATTAAGCTAATGGCACTGCTGCCAACAATGGTCAAACACCACCCCAGATTTTTAGCAGAACACCATTATGCTCAGTTGACAGCCTGCTTCCCTCCTCCTAGTTCAGGCACCCTTCACCTACATTTTATTTCATACATTGCACTAAAAATTTTAATGTATTGGGCAATAGCAGGGAACTTTAGGTTACTTTAGTAAACCTCATAGGTGTCTCACATTGGGAACGTCTTCGGCATGACCTCATCAGAAACTTCTATTAGCTCACAGGATTGGCTGAAAATAAACATTAGCATCAAGGAAGACAGGGTCGTCCCCCCCCCCCGGGTGTTGCTGCAGTGACAGCTCATTCAAAACTTTCACTTCATCCTTGCAATGACAGAGGTGACTTGGTGACACTTAAATTTGTAAAATGGAGCATGTGTGTAAGGAGAGGCCTAACTTTCAGGTCTCTCTTGTAAATGAGTCCCCGAGGCTCAATGGGATTAACCCGTATAAATAAAGGTTGAATGAATGTGACTGCGGTGAAGATGTGAGACAGCGGTACTGTAATATCAATATCCTAGCAGTAGACTGGAAACAGAACAAAATGTCATCGAGTTTGGCGAGATAAACTTGTCAAGGCGTAAACGTCTTGTATAAAGGCTCATGAAGAGAAGCTCGTAGTAGAAAGGGTACTCAGGCCATCTGGAGGCTGCAGTCCTTCTGAGCTATAGGCAGTGATTCAGTAAGAAAACCACGGTTTGACACCAGCTTTCCAGAAGGGGTCTTCACTCAGGAGATAAAACAATGGGAGACTGCAATGAAGCCAAGATTCAACTTGTCTGCTTAGATACTAATACCAATTGGCTTTAATGTATGCGAATGTTCCTGTAAAGTGCCCTGAGACAACTTTGTTGTGAATTGGCGCTAAATAAATAAACTGAATTGAATTGAACAGTCTGTGAGGCTCAATGAGAGCCACTGGTATAAAATAGCATTTTTGTTTTAGAAAACAGAATTTGTTTTGTTTTATGCAAACATAAAACTCAGAAGAGCTCTTCCAGAACTATAAATTTACTCATTAAAGCGACATAAAAGTGAACATACTGTACGTCTGACAAGGCATTTGGACCTTTGGGATTTCCAGCATGCTGAAAAGTTGAATATGATTTAATGATTTAAGGACAGGAAATCAGTACTGGTACCTGCTTCTTAAGACTTTCTAAGGCTTTGCAGTGTTCAGAATCTAAGGCCTCTTTCTGAGCAGCCAGTTCAGTCTGAAAAAAAAAGCATGGTAATATATTAGTTATTTAGTTTACACATTTTTTACTAAATCATCATGTTGTTGGTCATCACCTCGTGAACATGGCTGAGCACAGCTGCCATGGCTCTAAACTTCTCCATGTGTACTTGAGCCAGCTCTTTCCTCAGTTCCTCCCTGATGGATACCTGCTCTGCAGCGTGGCGCTCCATCAGCTCTTTGTGCTCTGCACTCTGACAAAGCAGGTCTTGACAATGTCGCTTCTCAAGTTGTACAATTTCATCACGCAGTGTCTGTGATGGGAATGGTTGTATTGTGATCATTATTCTTCATTTCTTAAACTTCAGCACATTGCTCAGAAAACATGTAGCCCAATGCTTTAGTCATCTCCTTACCTGTACTTCCTTTAAGTAAGTGGTCTCCAAAGTGTCCATATTTCCCAGCATCCTCCTCTCCAGGTCATCTCGGTCTTCCTGGTGCTTGCGAGCCATTTCTGCTTCTAAAGCCTCCAACTGTGCCTGCTTGGTCTCCTGATAAGCAGCCTCCAAACTTTCAAGATCAATCTTTTGTTTTGACTTGAGGGATGCTTCTAAGGCAACAAGCTGAGCATTGTGCGTCCTTTCCAGCTCATCTGTCATGGCTGCGAGCTGATGGCTGTGACTGGCACTGAGCGACTCCAGCTGGGATTTGTGTTTGGCATCGAGTTCGTCCATTTCTTTGGAGTGCTCGTTTAGCAGCGCTGTCCTTTCATGTTCTAGTTCAGCTTTATGCTTGGTCTTTAGTTCTTCTACAGACATTTCATAGCTTTGAACCAAGCGCTGCTCCAACTTGGCTCTCTCTTCTTGGAACCTAAACACACCAAAAACACAAACAATCCCCTAAATTTACAAGAAAACTGTGGCGAACACCACGTTTCCCTTACAGTTTGAAAAACACTTTCTCATAGGTGAACATAAATTATGAATGCATCTTTAGGCTATTTGACATTTTTGTTCACAGATTATTTTAGTAAAATACAGGGGGGGGGGGGATGGCTATTTTACTCGCTTAATATATTTTACATAATAAATCACAATTAACATCTCACCTTTGTTGAGCTTGGCGTAGCTTCTCTTCACTCTGCTCCCGAAGCGACACGTTGAGCTCTTTAATTTCAGCAGACATGCAGTTCTTTGCCTTTTGCAGCTCGTCTTCATACTGAGCATCCAGTCTCTGTTTCATCAGTAGGACCTGTTGGCCTAAACACCATCGACTCTTAGAATCCGCTTTGAGAACTACCAAACAACCAGGACAGAAAGTATCTTACTTTCACTGTTGTCCAAAGCAAACTGAAGAGACTTCAACTCTTTCTCTTCGTCAAACGCTTTTCGGAGGCTCGCCCTCTCCTCTTCAAGCACTGATTTTAGTGCAGAGATCTCATTTTCATGTTCCTGTTGAAGCTTCTTCATTTTCTCCTGCACAGCCTCCCTTTCCTCTTTCAGAGCTTCCTCAAGAAGAGTCAGCTGCAGCAAATGAAGTTAAATAAACATTAATTAGAGAAAACGTGCCAAACAATTGTTACTTTGAGACTGTAGTGTATTTATTTTTTATCTGTAGGATATCCATTCATCGTGCAGATATGCATGTACCTTTGTTGTAGTGGACTGTGTTTCGGCATCTTGCTGTTTACTTAAGGAAGTCAGTTTGTTCTCCAAGTTGTGGATAAGTGTTACCCTTGTCTGCAGATCCTCAGTGAGACACCAAGTCCTTTGTTCTACCTCAATCTAGATAAGAAATTATTTTTAACCAAACTATATGACAGGGCTTACAAATTCCAGGGTCAATTATCCCATTTAGTTTTCTCACCTCGACCTGCCTTGCTGCATCCAGATGGACTCTAGTAAGCTCTACAAAAACAGTTAGATGTTATAATTTTTTTTATTTTTCTGAACTTAACCAGTGTTTTTGTTATAAATGCAGATGTGAAGGACCTTTTAGATGAATGTCTGAAAGTTTTGCTCTGCGTTGCTCAAGCTCCAGAGCATGACGAGCCTTCATCTCCTGCAGCTCTTTATAGTAACAGTCTGTGAGGTCTGAGCGCACCTGAAAAACAGGAAACAAAACGCTTCTTATAAACAAATGGTAAATGGACTAGATACTCAAAGCTCTTTACAACACGATCTCTGCCTCATTTACCCGTTCACACAGCACTCTACGAGATCTCTACAGAGAATAATCAGTGTTTTGTTACATTCATACACTGATGGGACACACATCAGAGGAAATGAGGGGTTCAGCATTTTGCCCAGGGACACTTCAGCATGTGACTGCTGGGGCAATCGAACCATCAACTCTCCCATTGGAGGGCAACTGCTCTAACCACTCAACCACATCTGCCCAATCGGTACTAGTAATCGGTACAAGACTCATTGTTATAGGTGCTAAAAACTTTTCAACTCTGCCAAACCTGCTCCAGTTCTTCTTTAAAAGAAAGAGTTAAAGTAGACTGTAGATTGGAAAGCTCCACTGCATGCGTCTCCTCCAACTCGAGCCTCAAAGCATCAAGTAATTCCTGGAAAAGAAATACAAAAATAATACTTTATATTTGAGAAGACCAAAGTAGAAATTTAACAAACCAATAAATTCAATATATTCAATATTAAAAGTCTAGGATGCGTTAACCTCTTACCTTTTGTTTGTCCAGTTTGGCACCATCAGCGAAAATATCCAAGTCCTCTTCAGCTTCAACTTGAGACAAAATGCTGAAACAAAGAAAAGGTATAGGTACTCAGATACATGTCAAGATTGTACCCAGTAAATATGCCACAGTTAGACAACTGACGTACTTGTCATCTGTCTGAAGCACAGAGTCCTCCAAGGCACTTTCCACCAGCCTCAGCTGGAGCAGAGCAATTTCCTCTTTGTAGCTCTCCTCTGATGCATGCAGCCGCTTCTCAAAATAACTGGGGAAGATAACAGAAATATCTGTGGAGCACTGAGCAAGTAGACTGACCACTGCAAAGCATCACTTTACACATAATTCAGATACCTGCTAAACGATAAATCAAATACATCATTGTTACAATCATTTTAAGGAGAGCTTTTGTAAGAGCCTGTGCGTCTATACCTCCTCAAGTTTTCCAGCTCAGCCTCATTCTGCTCTTTGATTTCTCGCTTTTGTTCATTAAACTCTGTCTTTAGAAGCTCCATGTCGGCAACTTGAGCTGAACGAGCCAACAACTGCTCCTTGAGCTCTGCAAGACAGCAACGCAAAAAGGAAAAGGGTAAAAACACAACTGGGAAAATGCACATTTATTTGATATCGAAGTACAACATTATTATTTTAGTGTCATATTTATGAGTACAAAGAAAAGCAACTGTTAAGTGTACGGTGCATTTCTTTCTATTACAGAAATGATAACTAGTCTTAAAATGTCTAATATTTAAATGAACACTTCAGATTGAAAAAACAAAGAAAATGCAGTCAAGCAGTTGTGAGGCTCATGATGTCATCTCACCTCCCAGCTCTTGACGACTGGTCCTCATGCTTTCCAGCTGGGTCCACAGTTGGTCCATTTCCTGTTCTTTGCTTTGAATGAGTAAATCTTTCTCTTCTTTCAGGTGCAAAACCTGATCAAGAGTGAGAACATCAGTTAGAAGTCTAAAGCATGACATATTCGTACATTTCATGACCTCAGTTCTAAATGCAGTTATTTTTGAAGGCCATACAAACTATTTCAAGGCAATTTGAGATAAAAAAAAATATTTTAGATGCAACTTAGTTAAGTTACACTGACCTCTTGTTGCAAATGCTGCACTTTCTCCTCAAGGTGGAGTACTTGCTGCTCCTTCTCTTGCAGAACTGCTTTGTGACTAAGAACCATCTCCTCTACAGAATCTGATGAGCAAAGATTTTAAAAATTAAACACACATTAAAATCAAGTGGTAGGATAAATGCAGCAGTTCTTCTGAATTTTTTAACATCTGCAAAACAAGGGGTCATATTTATCCACTTTCATGTATATTTTAATGTTATATAAATAATTGACAGTACATATATATATATTGTATGTTCCACCATACATGTTGCACCACCCTATAAGTTGCATCAGTCCAAATATGTCTAATAAAGTGGAAAAATCCATAAATACGTCGCTTCGCCGTATACGTCGCATCTATTAAGCGTCAGTGCTGACAATCTGGAAATGTGGGCCGGTGTTGTGCCAAAAATTGATTGGCTGCCAAATGGCGTCCGCTGGAGCGTTCACAGGAGGACTTTAACAAGAATTTAACAAGATTAAGACTTAAAAACAATTATTTGCTTGTGCTAAATTATAGTAAAGGTGTGTCTCAGTCTAACTTTTGCTTAATAAATGTACTTTGACTGTCAAATCAGCTGCATTTCAAAAGCCAATACGCGGAAGTAGGAGCGTGCACGGGTGGACAAGTTGTGCATTTCTTCGAAATGTAACAAGATAACCACCTAAAAACAATTATTTGTTTGCTCGACTTTATAGTTAAAATGTGTCTCAGTTGAACTTTTACTTAATAAATGCACTTCAGTAGTCAAACCAGCTGCATTTCGCTGGGGCGGTGCAGCAAAATGACGCTGATTTGACGGTTGCAACAAGCGAACTGGACGAAGACGGCAGGTTATGGCAAGCTGATTGTATCATTAATAGCCACTTTTACTTATTAAATGTCAAACTACTCAAGTGCCATCTAGCGGTTAAAAAAGGTAGTGTTCAATATTTTCAGTCAGAATGAATGAACGGTAGGGCATTAACAGAGTACTCAAGTAATCTACACATTGATTGCTAGGACCTCTATTGAGGTTAAAAATGTAACGTCGGGTAGCCGTAGTGACGTCATATTATGTGACCACCGTATGACCGTAGGGGGCGGTGTTGCACTGTTGCAGGTCACAGAGTATGGTGTAACACCGGGTCCAATCCACCGAACCAGAACCAGTTTTGGTTTAAGTTTCGTTTTTGACGTGCTGCATGTTTCTTCACGTTTGCAGTTTAATAATAATAACTAATAGTTTAGTTTTTCCTGTGACTTATTTGCATTATGATAAATGGTAGGAGCATAATATACGCTCCCAATGTTTTGTTGGTCTTTTTTTGTAAATAATTACCTTTTTTTTGCGGTTTATTTGTTTATTTTTGTTTCTTGAGATCTATGACGTCATCAAATACTCGAGTTCTACTTATGTTTATTATGTTAATGTCGAGTTTAAAAAGTATGTACTCGTTCAACCCCTAATGAATGGTCATATCTCAGCCAAAAGTTGGTTTATAAATATGGGAAAAAAACCATAAATAAGCCACTTTGGCGTATAAGTTCAGGGCATGTAAATTATGCAAACAGCCGTGACCTATAGGGCGAAAAATACAGTAATTCTAAATTCAAAAAGTTCAAGACCTAAACAGCTGGACTTTATTTGTAACAGAAGATGGTAATTCTAAACACAGAGGTCAATTCTTTAAAGCATTTCATTTCCTTAATGGAGGAGAAACGTGTATGCTGCAGCTCACCGGCAGCAGCATCTCTGTCAGCCCAGACTTGTTTGTGTTCCTCTAGTTTCTCAGCTTGAGCTTTACTGCCAGTCTGGACTTCCTCCAGTCTGGTTCTTGTCTCCTGCAGCTCTGAATGGGTTTGAGACAGAGCAGCTTTGGCATCTGTTAAAGCTTTGCTCGTCTCTGTGAGGGAGGTCTGCTTGCTGCTCAGCTCTGTCTGGGTGGCATTGAGGCAGTTTTTGATCTCTGATAGAGACCTTTGGGCATTTTGTTCTGCCTCCGTCTCCCACTGAACTCTTAAAACCTAAAAACATAATAATATCGATTACTTTTTTTAAAAAACACACGTGGGGAATAAAAAAAGTACTGAAACTGGACCTGTATCTCTTTAGTCTGCCTTTCCTCCATTAAAGCTCTCTCCTGAGCAACCCCAATCTCCCACTGCTGCTTTAATTCATCTGAAGAGGCACACACAAAAGGATTCATTAGGTGCAAGTGCTTGAAAGTTACATTTGCCACTGTGCTGTGCTTTTACAGAGCAGCCCATAATGCTTCACATGTAGAGTGCACCAAATAAAGCCTACAGAAACACACACTTAACAATCGGAGAAGCACTCTTGCCTGTACTCACCCAACTCTTGTTTGTGCAGCTCCAGCAGTCTATCCTGCTGCTCCTGACTCTGCTGTTTGATTTGGTCCAGATCAGTCTGATGGTGGGCCTCTAGGAGTGATAGTTCCTGGGCGAATGTCTCCTTCATGGAGTCCTGAACCCTGCTGAGTGCAGACTCTTGCTCCTGCTGAGACCTGTGAACTGTGGTCAGACTCAGGCGCAAGGCTTCAAGCTCCATGGTTTTTTGGGCCTAAAAACAGTTTGTAATTTGAGATTTGTTGTAATGCAAACTGTGCAATGTAAAAGGGCATGTTTATATTGTAGATCACACTATTAACTGTTATTAATGTTCAGGAGGATAAAAAGTTAATATTTTTCATCATCTCCTGAATAAGGATGTTAGAATGTGTTTGAAGAGTAAATCAGGTAATACTTGTGCCTGCTGCAGCTCAGCCTGATGAGCTGCTTCCATGCTCTCCCTCAGCTCCAAGGACACCTCAGCTCTTAGCTGATCGAGATCCTCGTTGTGTTTGGCAGTCAGCTCTAATATCATCCTCTCGTGCTCGCGTTCGTTTACCTGAAGAACAGAATTATAAGAAGGAAGATAGGTGAAAAAACAAAGATGTTTTTCTTGGTGAGTTATACTTCACATTGACTTAGTGATACCTGTTTGATCAGGCTGATCTGTCGAGTTTGTTCTTCCTCCATTTTGAATTGCTGCTTCTGCAGCTCTGTCTCCAGGTTGGCTTGTAGTTTGGAAATCTACGTATACAGAAAGAGCATATTAACACAATTGTATTGTTGCATAATTATAAAAGTACTTGAATGTACCTGTAGGCCTGTCACGATAAGTTTTGCTGGGCGACTATCTCAGAGAAATTTTTGCGATGAACCATAATGTTGTTTGAAATTTGACAATAATTAGCAATTCTTGTCAAATTTAAGAAGAAATGTTGATTTGTTTTGTATGTGGTACCTTTTTGACCACTGGATGGCAGTATAAGACTGTTTGTACCGAAGGATGGATAGTGAGGGCGCAGCAGCGTTTGTCTTTAAGAAAAATGTGAGGGAGGCCCATGGGGCAGCACGGTGGCGCAACTGGTAGAGCTGCTGCCTCTCAGTGAGCAGGTCCTTGGTTCAAATCCTGGTCCAGGGGTCTTTCTGGGTGGAGTTTACATGTTCTCTCCATGCATGCGTGGGTTTTCTCCAGGTACTCCAGTTTCCTCCCACAGAGCAAAAACATGCATGTTAGACTGATTGGTGTGAGTGAGAGAGTGAATGGTTGTTTGTCTCGTTTGTCTCTACTGTATGTGGCCCTGTGATGGACTTGCGACTCGTCCAGGGTGCACCCCGCCTCTCACACAGTGATTGCTGGACATGGGCACCAGTGACCCCCATGACCCAAAATGGCAGAAGCGGGTAAAAGATAATGGATGGATGGGAGGGAGGCCCCTTGACATGACATGGGCTTTTTCTCCTTCCCTTATTCGGTTCTCAAAATGGCGGACGCTCAGTGTGGTTTGAGCTCATTGGCATAACATTTTTCACACAAAGCTTTTAATAAAAAAATCAGTAAACAAGTTCTCAGCTTCTTTTTGCAGAGAAAAACAACTTTTTCGACAAAGGCACGGGTTTCAACCTTGAATTTTGGAGCTTTGACAAGACGGAGGATTTTTTTCCCCGAGGTCGGCCTGTTAGCTTAGCTCGTAGCTTAGCTGATTTTAACGATCGAAAAACAAGATTTTGGATGATTAAAACAGATTTTAAAGAGAAAAGAGAAAGGTCAATGAAGAGCACCAGAGTTGAGCTTTTTGTCATCCAGTGTCTTCAGTAGAAAGAGAGAGACACAAAGAAACGATAAAGCTGATAAATGAAAATGAGGTCGTTAATTTTAATTTATCATGCGATTAATTGATTTATTGTTTATCGTGACAGGCCTAGTTGAACAGTCAGCATTTCAGTCCTCTATGAAACAAATGTACAGTATAATCCACCTCTTGCTGATGTTCTTCCATCAAATCTTTTATCTTCTGCTGATGAGAAACCTTTAGCTTTTCTGTAGCCTCCTCCAGAGCCAAGACCTGCTTTTCAAGAAGAGCCTTCACCTCCTCTTCCTTCTCCTTCATCTGTTCTTCCAACAGATGAGTGGCACTAAGGAGTTTCTCTTTTTCCTGCCTCTCCTCCTCCCACTTTTCCTTCTCTTCAGCCAACTATCAAATCATGTTGTGTGCCATATTAATAACTCAAAGTAATCAAACAGAACAAATATTCAAGTCATTGTAATTCACATCTTACCTCAACATCTTTGGCTTTCAGTATGTTCTCAAACTGTTCAAGCTCCTCTTCTAGGACCTGTTCCATCTTTGTTATCTGTTCGTCCATCTGTTGTTCTCTTCTCTTGCCCTCCTCAGCCTGCTTCACAGATTGAGCCTGGGCCTCTTCCAAACGGGCGAGGCTCTGTCTCAGACAGGAGACTTGAGAATCCAACTCGTTTATTTCTTTATTAGCGGAGTCCAGACTCTCGTGGCTCTTCAATAATTCTTGCTGCAGCGTCTCCACTTCTGTTTGGATCTTTAAAACCTGCACTCGTGTTGTTTCAAGCTCCTCTGATACAGCGTCAAGCTCTAAGGTCTTTTGATTTAACAAGGTTGATGTGGTTGTCAGTTCAGTTGTTGTTCCCTCCAACGTTGATATAAGATGCTCACAGTAAGCCTTGAGAAGGAAGACAAACATACACACAATTATTTTCATGCAAAAATAAAATTCCTTGTCAAACTATATCTTCTATTTAAATTCTGAAGCATATCTATATTCTTGTTGAGTCATATTACAAACACTTATTGCAGTAGTTTACCTGTAATGTTTGCATTTGGATGCCACCTTTGGGTTTTGTGGTCTCTTTGGCAAAATTTGCACTCAGCTCCATCTCCTGCGGAGACGATACGTGCAGCAGCTCCTGCGGATTCTGATGAGATGAGAGGACGTCTTCCTCTCTGTCCCCATTTAGCTCTCCTGCCAGTGCATCTTTCTCCTCTGGTGGACAGGTGGCAGGAACCACCATAGAGGTTTCCATAGTGCTCTCAGCTTCTTGTCCCTTCAATATTACAGCATTTTCTCTTTCTTCAAACAAGGCACTAAGTTTGTTTATAAGATTTTCTTGTTCATGAGCTTTCAAGTTCATCTCTTCTTCAATGTTTCTTCTCTTCTCCTGCTCTTCTTCAAGTTCAAAGAGAGCTTGCCTGAGCTCTTCTGTTACTTGAGCCCACCTAAAAGGCAGACAAGATCATTTAAAATATTTACCTGGCTAAGAGAGGATGCCGAGAACAACTCTACACACACAACTAGGCCTGTCACAATAACACATTTTGCTGGGTGATTGATTAATTGTCTCAGAAATTTTTACGATAAACTATAATATTGTTTGAAATTTGATAATAATTAGTAATTGTCAAATTTAAGAAGAAATGTTGGTCAATTTTGTATATAGTACATTTTTTTGACCACTGGATGCAGAATAAGACTGTTTGAACCAAAGGATGAATAGTGAGGGAGTGAGTCTCTTTAAGAAAAATGGGAGGGAGGCCCCTTGACGTGACATGGGCTGTCTCTCTTTGGTTCTCAAAATGGCGGACGCTCTGTATGGTTTTAGCTCTTTAGCATAGCATTTGTCACACAAAGCTTTGAATAAAAAAATAAAAAAATCATAAACAAGTTCTCAACTTCTTTTTGCAGAAAAAAACAACTTTTTAGACAAAGGCACGGGTTTTAACCGTGAATTTTGAAGCTTGTACAAGACAGAGATTTTTCCCCGAGGTCAGCCTGTCAGCTTAGCTAGTAGCTTAGCTTCTCAGCTTAGCTGCTTTTAGTTTTAACGATCCAAAAATGCAATTTTGGACGGTTAAAACGGATTTTAAAGAGAAAAGACACAAAATAGAAAGGGAGAGGTCAGTGAAGAGCACCGGAGTTGTGCTTTTTGTTCATCCAGTGTCTTCAGTAAAAAGAGAGACGCAAAGAAACGATAAAGCCGATAAATGAAAATGAGGTCGATAATTTTCATTTATCATGTGATTAATTGATTTATTGTTTATCGCGACATGCCTACTACACACAACACACAACTACTGTAGTTCATTACAGTGTAGCTGTAGCTGTGAAACTATATATAAAGTTTAAAATTCATAGTTTTTGAAACTGGCTGCAGACTCTTATAAACTACAGTTGTCCCTCTTCACTCCAGCTTGTTGAATAGAGCAGGAGAAGACAAATGTGAATGTTGTTTGCAGACATAAAGCTAGTATCTCATTGGGCTGTGACTATTAGAGACTAGTTTGCAAAAAAGTTCTCTTTCATAGCATTTGTTTAGTGTCTCACATTGGGAAGATACTAGCTTTTCAGAAGCTCCTGATGAGCCAGGATTGGCTGGAAATAAGCCTGTCAGTGTCAAGAAGAAGACGGGAGCAGCCGGAAAAGAAAATAAATAAATAAATTCTCAGGCCAAAGAAAGGCAGCAGCAGAATGCAGGTGACCTAAGACCTCTGGGCTCTGAAAAAGCATCTGAGAAAATCAAGATGACTCGCACCTCCCTGCTGCACTTCCTAGGTCACGGCGACTGGTTGACAACAATCAACCTCAAGGACGCTTATTTTCACATCCCCATTTGTCCGTCGAACAGAAAATACCTCAGGTTTGCTTTGCAGGGAAAATGTTATGAACACCTTGTACTCCCTTGTGAACTCTTGTTAAGTCCAAGTGTTTGTGAAATGCACAGAGGCAGCTGTGGGTCCGCTCAGGAGGAGCATCCTCTCACCGTGAGGCTGCAGACCACACAGCTGTATTAACACAGCACATGATGGACCTGGGGTTCAAAATAAACATGGAGAAAAGTGTTCTGCTTCCTTCTCTGAACATCTCTTTCGTAGGTCTCTCTCTGGACTCAGTTCAAGCCAGAGTGAGACTGACAGAGGACAGAGTGAAAGCTGTGATGGACTGCCTGCTGTTTTACAGGGAAAATCAGGCATCACTTGTCGCTTTTAGGGTTAATGGCATCAACTCTGGTGGTGGTCCCACTGGGACACTCTCCACATGAGAGGAATACCATGCTGGGTGGTCTCTCAGCTGAAACTGAACCCACACATTTGTCACAGAGTGAGAGTTACAGCAGCTTGCACTGCAGCAATATGCCCCAGGCTAGATTGTGCCAGCGCTCTGACCCAGGGCATACCAATGGGAATTGTGCAGAAGAGGAAAGTTGTCACAACAGATGCCTCCCCGTCAAGATGGGGAGGTATCTGCAAAATCTGTGAATGGGTCTCGAGGCCCAAAAAATGTCCTCAGCCTACATAAACTATCTGGAGCTGCTAGCTGTTCAGCTAACATTAAAACACTTGTTTCCCCTCCTAGAAGGACAAACTGTGTGTTGATCAGGACAGACAACACTGTGGTAGCTTGTATCAACAGGCAGGTGCCATGAGATCACTGCGGCTTCACATGCTGGCCCACAAACTGATCATTTGGAGCAGCAAAGTTTTTCTGTCTCTGAGGCCCACTCATGTTCCTGGAGTGCTGAACTGTGGAGCAGAGCTTCTCTCCAGGGGGAACTCTCTATATGCAGAGTGGAAAGTCCATTGAGAGGTGGCCAGGCTGGTCTGGCAGAGGTTCGGACCACCATCTGTGGGTCTGTTTGCCCCACAGGAGAAGCGTGTCCCCTGTTCCTCTCCCTGCATGATCAGGGTTCACCTCTGGGAGTGGATGTGCTGTGGCTCAACGTTACTAAACATCAATCATTAAGTAAAAACGGACGACACCGAGTATCTGAATGACAGCAAAAGATGGGGGTGTACTCGCACACAAGTGGCCCCAGGCCCTGCTTTATGAATTTCCTCCTATAGCTCTAATTTCAGTTCAATGCAGTTTATTGATATAGCGCCAAGTCACAACCGACATTGACGCAGGGCACTGAACAGAAACAGTCACATACATAAAAGTCAATTAGTAAAGTTTTCTATCTAAGGAAGCAGCAGATTGTGTTGAATCTTCACTTTGTTGCAGTTTCCCATCCTGAGCAAGCACAAAGGAGACTGTGGAAAGGAAAAACTCCCTCTTTACAGGAAAAAAACATCCAGCAGAACCAGGCTCAGGATGAGCAGCCATCTGCTTCGACCAGCTGGGTTTGAGAGGACAGGAAGGAGAAACAAACAGAATGGCAGGTGTACTTTCTATAGGAGGAAAGACAAAAAATAATTTCACCTGTGTTAGCCAGAGCCTCTTTGCACCTTACTGACCATCAAAACACTAGTTAGCCAATAAAATGCAGCTCCTCTGGGAGGAGACGTGGCTTCTGCCTGCACGCAACATCCTGCTGACTCAGGCATGGGGACAAATCTTTCACCCCACCCAGAAAGGCTGGCTCTGTGGGCTTGGCCCGTGAGTGGTTCAACCTCCAATCTGTACGACTCCCACAAAGTGCGACTGAGACCATATAGAATGCAAGGGCACCTGCGACAACATCTCCATGAGTGAAAATGGTCCACTTTTGAGAAATGGTGCTCTGACATTCAAGATTCCTTTTCAGTGCTCTGGGGCTGCGATTCTGTCTTTCTTACAGAACCTGATTGACAAGCGAAAAGCTTTTTCTACTATTAAAGTTCTTTTGGCTTTGAGGGGTGAAGAGCAGGCCAGCATCCGAGGCAGAGGTAAATAGTTTTGAATGAACTGTCTGCAGTAACAGCTCTTTATATAGGGGGAGGGCCCTGCCCTCCTCAACACTGACAGGCTTTTTTCCAGCCAATCCTGACTGGTGTAAATTAACAGGAGCTTCAGATGAGGTCACGCCGAGTGTGTTCGGAATTGATAAGTGTCTCACATTGGGACACTCATACTATATTGATATGAGATTGAAAAAAATAAAGATTAAAAACAAGTTCAAATTTGTCTATTTGTCAAAGCTGTTCTCCAGTAAATTGGGCACAGCCTAAGACTGTTTTGCAGGATGGGTGCACAAAATATAAGTCCAGTTGTTTTTGTATTGAACGTTTTTTGAATTTATCATGTCCTGGATGACTGAGAATCTTCACCAGCACAAAATAGGGTGCAATTTTCAAATCTAGGTGCTCAAAACGCAGCCACGTGGCTTATCGTTGGTTTCAAACACTCAAATTTGGACAATTACCTGCTCCTTGCTTCCTCCAACTCTTCTGAACTCTTGAGGACTTCCTCCCGTAACACATTCAATTCACGCTCCTTCAGAGCCAGCTCCTCGTGGAGCTCCTCACACTGCTGATTCGATAAAACCTTTTCCGAGCCTGCGTCTCCAAACTGCTGCTCTGACATTTGGCACAATCCCATCTCACCAGAAGTGGAATCAGGAGGCCAAGGAACAAAAGATCGAGGACTAGAGTCGCCAGCTTCTGGGGCAAAGTACTGTGAGCTGGTGACATCCAAGATATTTTCATCTACTTCACAGACACGGTTTGAAATTGACAGCAGAGGCTGATCTCCAAACACTTCACTGTTGAGCTCGAAACTGTGAACAGAGGCAAAAAGAGCAGCAGCATTTATCTTGTTGTTTTGATGGCTACTAATAAGTAATGAAGCAATCAATAAATACGTGGGTATAAAAAACTAAATTTCTCTCACCTGCAGTCTGCAGATATGTCCAGCTGACTGCACTGTTCAAAGCTTGTATTAATCACTGAAGATTGTGAATGTACAAGAGGAGCCGAACACAAGTACCGCTCCATTAAAATATTACCACGTAATGATTCATTTACACTTTCCTGATCCAATTCGGTTTCCCAGTTGGCTTCATTTATACTAATCCTCTCAGAACTACAACCAGCTTTAGCTTGGTTCTGACGGTTTTTTGAAACTTTTAGTCCTTCGTCTTCTCCCTCTCGCTTCTTAAGTTCGTTTTCACTCTCATCCAACAGCAGCCCGACATTTTCAACCTCCTCTTCCAGTCCCTTAATCTTCTCCTCCTGTCTCAGTTTTTCTTCCTCAAAAGTCTGGAGACGAAGAGCAGAACTGGCAACATCCTCAGCAAGTCTCCTCACAGCGTCTTCCTCCTCCTGAAGCTTTTTCCTCAGCTCCAGCACTTCTCGGTTTAACGCCTCCTTCTCCTCTTTGTACTGCTGTACCTCAAGGCACTGTGTTTGTACTTGATTTAAATGGATTTGAAGGGTTTGTAGTTGTGCATCTTTTGCGTTGCGCTCCTTTTCCCGCTCCCGTTTCTCCTCCTCCAGTAACAAAAGCACATGTTGGTTTTTCCCCATCTCCTTTGCGAGTTCGGCACTTATGCGTTGGCTGTTCTTCCTTTCATCTTCTAACTCGGTCATCAACTTGTGCAGAACAGTGTCTGTCTCCGTGTCACTGTCGGTGCTGAAACATTCAGGACTTGCACTTCCCCATGCTTTTGATGTTGCCTCTTTGTGATTGATGTTTGCAGCCTGGGCGGAAAGGCCATGGTGATGCTCTACAACATCAACTGCTTCGGCCCCTGACTGACCTTTAATTCGTTTAAACTCTACACTGGTCTGTGTGAAAAATAAATACATACATTAGGAGCATGGAAACAATAAAACAATCCTAAATGTCGCAACTTTAAGAGGCACTTACCTGTTGGATCTGTTTCTGTAGTGCCTGAATTTGTCCAGCAAGTGACTGTGCCTCTAGCTGTACCTGGTCTCTACTCGACAGGGCTTCCTGAAGGTTGTAACTAAGTTTGGCAATTATTTCATTACGCTTCTCAACAGCCTCCTGCAACTGCTGCAAAAACAAAGCACGAAGCAATTTTAGTACAGAGAAACACTATTTTGTTCAAATACAGTAGTCCCTCGTTTATCGCGTGGGTTCCGTACTCAGCCCCCTCAGGTGATAAGTGGAAAAACCACAAAGTAGGAATAGTAGTACAAGTACCACACTCTTGCAATATTCTAAACAACGTTTCTCAACTCTAAATGCTCTAAAAGAGACAGAATGTCATGATCTCCGCGCTCTCTGCCAGCGCTCTCGGCCACGCCCACTTTTCCGCTGCAGAGCAGAGGTCGACATGCTGCAGGAGGAAGCTTCTCTCTGCAGCTCTGGGCTGCACACAGGAGCAGCAGGTGCTAAATAATTTAAAACAATTAATTTTAAATAAAAATTCCATGCCGATCGTGCAGCTCATCCATCAGTCAATTGTGTGTCATGTCCAATCTTATTTTGAAAAACTGCAAAAGAGCGAGTCTGTGAAAGTCGAACCACTTCAGCGAGGGACTACTGCACACTGATTGTTTTTGCAAATCAGTTGTTTGTTTTTTTTTTACAAAATTGTGTATGCTTTTATTTTGCTGTAGCTGCTTTTAAACCTGAAAGAAAGAGGAACAGCTAGATAACAATTATTTGAAATGCCCATAAATCAAGCATGATGCTCATGTTTCATTTCATGAATGCCTAGAAGAATTTCTGAAAATTTACACATTCAATGCTCCAAAGAGTTGAAACATTTTCATGTCAGCCGTCATAATGTCACAAACAACTTAAGAGAATATTTCACAGCAAGCCTCGAGGCCAACGAAGATAAAGGAACAAATGATCAGACTTTCTCACAGATAAATGAAGTCTTGAAATGTCTTCCATCTAAGACTTACTGCCAAGTCTTAATATACATACAATAAATCTTGTCTCCCTTTCAGAGACCTTGAAAAGGTGACACACTTTTATTACCTCTCGTTTGGACTATTGCAATGTTTTGTATGATGGTTTAGATAAATCATCTCTGCGTCTCTTACAATCTGTGCAGAATGCAGCAACTTGTCTTTTAACAGCAACTAAAAACATGAACACCTAACCACTGTCCTGGCTTCTCTCCTCTGGCTTCCTGTTCACTTCAGGGTTGATTTAAAGATTTTACATCTTGTTTTTAAAGTCTTAAAAGGTCTGGCCCCGTCATATTTATGTGACCTTCTTAACAGCTACATTCCAATAAGAGCACTCCGGTCTACCAACCAGTTCCTCTGATGTCTCCAGATCCAAACTGAAGTCCAGAGGTGATCGGGCTTTTGTGATTGTTGCTCCAAATCTAGAACAGTTTATCTGATTATTTTAAAAACTGCTCAGACTGTTGAGACTTTCAATCTTTGCTGAAGACTCACCTGACGTTTGATCCAGACAGAGTTTGAGAACAAGTTAGAGCTGATTGTTCTTGTTGTTGTATTATATTTTTAACTTTGTCGTTTCCTTAGTGACACAAGATGTATTTTCTTGTTCTTCTTTCTTGTTTAAATTTTAATTTGACTAAATTTTAAAGCACTTTCTTCAACTTTTGGTATTTTTATGTGCTATATAAATAATCTGACAGTGACATTCTCAGTTGTACAGCCAGAAAAGTAACTAAACTTTATAATGATTATTTGGGAGGAAAAAAAACCTTCAATAAAATAAATTCCATACAGAAACTAAATTCTGGTGGCTCGGTGGCTCAGACGGTAGAGCTCTCGGCAAGCAGCGAGTCGCTGGACCAAATCCCAGTAGGGGCCTTTCAGGGTGGAGTTTGCATGTTCTCTCTGTGGATGCGTGGGTTTTCTCCGGGTACTCCGGTTTCCTCCCACAGACCAAAAACATGCATGTTAGGCTGATTGGTAACTCTAAATTGTCCCTAGGTGTGAGTGAGAGAGTGAATGGTTGTCTCATTTGTCTCTATGTGTCCCTGTGATGGACTGGAGACCTGACCTGGGTGTCCCCCGCCTCTCGCAGTGTCTGCTGGATATGGGCACCAGTGAATCCCGTGACCCGAAGATGAGGAAGTGGGTAAAGATGAAGGATGGATAATAATAATAATAAGTTCTGCTTCTGACAGGTGCATTAAGAAAGAAAAGCTAACCAGTTTCCTCTTTGTTGTCCATTTTTTTAAATAAAAATTAAAAAAATAACTACAAAACATTAATCAAATTACGATTTAATAACACAAAAAAAGTATATGGTTTTGCAGCTCATATATTAGAGTGTAAATGCAAATCTTAGGATAAGAAGTTCATCTGAATAATAAGGCCATTTTTAAATGTCATGTCATGTAAATTCATACCAAAGCCATTTTGAATTGTAGGTGGAAATTTAAGAAATGTTGAAAAAACACGATGTAAACGGTACAATCTTATTACTGAACCTGCACTCAAATTTTCAATAATTCCACAATAAATTATAGTAATAAGTTATTATTATAATTTATTGAGGAATTATTGAAATTACTGTTATTACTAATAACAAATATTCCAGTTTTGATTCTGTATACCTTCAGCTGCTCTTTGCCGGTCAGTGCAGCTAGCTCCTCTTCTCTGAAGTCATCCAAGGGAGATGGGTTTTGCTCCAGGGAGGGGGGTTGATCCTCCTGATTTTCATTCTGCTGACCCTCTACTTGCTCTGATTTTGGGGGCCCCTAAGAAAAAGAAAGAAAAAAAATCATCCCACACTCTACGAGATCCTATTTTAACACAAAGTATCAGCAAACACACAGTGCCACAGATGTACATTTAGTGCAGCAGGTGAAAACAATTAAATAAATACAAAAGAACAAAAACAGTAAAAAAGGCTTCGGTTAATCCTGGCCAAGTTGCCATGACAACAGGCCCTCAAGGCAATGTAATGGTTAGTGACCCAGTTCTCTAATGTGTGTTTATCAGGCAGAGGGCATGAACAACGTTAGAAAACACAGAGTTAAGAAAAGTGGACAAAAACACCAAGTCAAGCAAGTGTTATGATTTGGGAATAAAACTGTCAGGTAAAGAAATATGTATGCAATCAAAACAGCTGATTATACAACAAATCCTGACATGATCATTTATTTAATGAGCGGTGTACCTCATGGTCGGTCTTGTTAAACTCTGTGGCACTGGCTGAAGGAGGAGCTGGCTCTACATGACGGTCTTGCGTCGAGTCGTCATCCTTTTTGACAGTCTGGCCCTGCCTCTTCTGCGTCTTTTTCGTCGTCCCCGCACTGTCGCTTTTCGCCCGCTTCTGTCTGAAGCTAGCAAGCTGCGCAGGAAGGACAGCGAGAGGTAGATGGACACATAGGTCAGGACCACTGAGCACCACCAAACTACTAGCATGGTGAAGCTCTGGAGTCAGAGCTTAAAAAAGGGGCTGCAGTCAAAAATTTATTGTTAAAATAATCAATGTCACTTTCTGTAACATCATTATGCACAATGTTAATTAAGAAGTTGTTTATCGTCTATATGTCTATTGTTTTAACGAGTCAATTAGGAAGAGAGGAAAAGCCAATAAAGCAAGAAGAACCCACAAACTCACACCCAAAATATACAACACTTTAACCTGTTAAGGTTAAGATCAAAATGATTAAGATGCTAAAAGTTCACAGAACACCAGAGCTGTAGCACACCCATGGGAAGTGCTAATTTAATGACTCATTCTGGAGACGAGAAACTGAAAAAAAAAATCCTGTTACTTTGCATTTTATTTGTAAACATGCCAAACTCAGAAAAAGAAAAATGTTATGTAGAAACTTTTCAAAATCTCAAATTCTTCTTTGCGAGCCCTTGGGATACAGAGGTGTTGCTCCAAAGTGAAAAGCATCCTTCCCGATCAAGCTGGGATGTCTGGCATAAACTCCAGAGGGACCATTTTGGTACAAATTTGCCTCAGGCGGCTTCTCTTTAGAAAACACTTCCTCCTCTTTTTATCTGCGCCTCCCTCTTCTGGCTTGTCTCCTCTTTAAGCAGCTTAAATCAGATTACAGCACTTGTCATTGTAACAGAAATCCCGAAAGAGTTCTCCATCAAAATTTGACAGCCAATGATTGACTTCTTTTCTTGCTGACGCCGATTCTTCCAGATCATGTCAGTTGGTCTTTGGTCTAGATGTAGAATTCGTAGTCTGCACGAAACACCAAAGTCTGTAGAACCTCTCATCCTAAAAGTCACAACTAAAGCAAGCGTACAGAGCAGAGATCCACAAACTCTGTATGGATGATGGCATATGTCTAGACCAAGGATAGAGGGTGGAGACTGGAACATGCATGCACACGGAGAGGAGGAGACTGATCTCTGTGTGTGGCAAGCAGCACCAGAGTGTGCATGCTCAAATCAATTTGAGATTACATATTCTCAAGAGACCTATTTGTTGCTTTATGCGATGAGTCACGTACAAGATGCATGAATATACCGTGTGTATGTGTCCTGCTTCTTCTGATTATTCCATGCCTTATTTTAAAACCTCACTGTAGTCTTTGTTTGGCACCACTATTCTTTGAGTTCTAAAATGAAGTTGATTCAAAATAAAAATGTTAATCAAGCAACCTTCTTTCAGGCCTAATTGATAAGTTGAAATCTCACACATTCTCCTGACTTCACGTATTCATTGTGCCTCTGCCTGCCAGAAAACATCACATCTCAGAAAGACATCAGCCAGATGAGCTTTGTTTAGCCCAAGGCCATTTCTGCACCACTGAGATTCTGACTAAGTAGCTAGCTGAAGCTTACTATGCTGAAATCAGATGTAATTGTACTAATATTTTTTTAACAAACTCAATACCAAAAATGCCATGCACCTGACTTTAAGAGATGTCCTTTATTAATACACGTTTGTGTTTAACTGTAATCTTGGTTTGCATGCTTGCATCACTGCAACGTGAGAAAACAGCACTTTGTGCAGCCAGCAGTAAAGGTAACTGTCAGCACTGTATTGCCATAGCAACATCTTCTGAGTCTATGATACTTAACACAATAAATTCATGTGAATCCACTGCACCATCTGATGGCCTGCAACCAGCACTGCAGGGTTAGCAGTGCAAGTGATCACCACTGCAAAGCAAATTTCCTGTCAGACTGACATTTTAGATAATTTAAGTATAAATAATTTAAAATAGTGTAATTCTTTCATGAGCAAGAGATTTACCATCTCAAAAGTTGGCATCACTCACAGCATGTTGCAGAAAAGCATAAATCATAATTTACACCCTGTGTTGGCATGTGATAATAACTTTTCTTTGGGTTTAAGTATAGCCTGGGAAATTATAGCATCAAATAATAGTCAGTTTGAGACTTATGTCAGTTAAATAATATAAAAAGCATAAAGCAAGGACATTTTAAGGAAAATTTTTATAAGGACATTTCAGACTAGATTTTGACTAGATTTTCCCAGAGTTGAAAAAACAAAGCAAACAGCAGAACAGAGGCAGTGCATCCAGAATAATCAATGCATCTCAGATTAAAATGCTAGTGATTTTTTTTATATAAACTATGACTAATGTAAACATAACGCCAAAACAATTAAGATCCTGATTTATATGATAATTTGACAGATTTATTGTGAAAAACCTTCACCCAAAGGACAAAAGAGAAGAAACACGAAAAGACATAGCAATGTACCTGCAATCAAAAACCCCAGTACAATCAAAGGTCCCTGCCATTTACCATTTTTATACTCACCCCTTGTCTTCGAGGAATGCTGGACACACTCTGTCATAAGAAACGTGACTGTTTTGTTACTCAATTATTTACAATTTATAACTAACCATATACAAAAGAGCTTCAAGTACGTTTAAAAGCTATGCTTTCTTTGCCATTTCAGAAATACGAACTTTCTCTGCTGGATGAGCTGAATCTTTGTTGACATACCAACATATTAATAATGATACGTAATGGACTTGATATAATAAAAGTGAATGCATACAACTCACTGAGCAAGTATATAAACTATGACTTTTTAAAGAAGATGCAGTTAGTTCAGGCGTGTAACAGGCGCAAAGCTGTGACAAAAGGGTTAGCTAACTGCTAGCATTAGATGTTAGCAACAAACCTTGGCTCTTCCAGCTTCTAATTTCCTTCGTCGTTCATCTTCATCCATGACTTAATGTAAAAAATAAAAAAATAAAAACTATGGGCATAAATCCGAACTGAATGGAAAACGCAATATGTTTTTTTTCACAAGAATGCTTGGCTTAAACAAAATATCCAAAACACAACTATCAACAGTCAGAATTCAATATGGCCGCCAACGCGGTTCAACTCCGCCCTTATCGAGTTTCATCTAACCAACGGTCCAATCAAATCGTACATTTTGTGATTTCAACCAATGAAATTTGCGTTTCAAAATAAACGGACAAGCACCGCCTACCTTGTATATCTGTCCATTTCATAGGGTTAGTTAAAGCGCTCGAGTCGAAACTGAATATTGATGACCAATCAGCTTGTTTCCTTTACGCGTTGCTTTTAGATTGACGGCTCTGGTAGCCAATTAAAATTGACAAGTTGGCTGGCGCCTCACGTGTGTTTGAATGGACAGTCGTGAATACCAAGTTACTTACTAGCATGAGTGTTTGTAGCTTGATTTCCTTGATTTAAAAAAAATCTGTATGCCTCAACATTAACAGACATTAAAATGTGGATGGGAAAGGTGAAACACCCACACCTGCCTCCACCTTCATTTCCCCCACTCTGGGCCCTTGAGCAAGACCCTTAACCCCCACCATCTAACCAAACTTCTACAAATCACATCTCTCCTAAAAGTCAATACTCAGAAAATCACACCTTTTCTCTTTCTCCGTTCTCTGTCAGTGAGGTAAATAAACTGTTAAAAGGTCTAGACTCTAATCTGCAGGACCAGGTTAACTTCTACCTTATTTTATTAAATCTGGCCGCTCATATCATTGCAGCATCGGTGTCCCACATCTTTAGCCTGTCCATAAGCCAAAACTCCATTCCAGACGCTTGGAAAACAGCCTTTGTTCTGAAGGGAGGAGACCCCACCTCACTGAACAACTATCGACCAATCTCTAAACTCTGCATTTTAGCCAAGGTTCTAGAAAAACTGATAAACTCTCAAATCAAAAATTACCTGGACTCATTTAAGATCTTACTCCCCATCAATCTGGTTTCAGGAAACAGCACAGCACAACTGCTTCACTGAAGGTTTTTAATGGGTTGTTTAATCACTGGATGCTAAGGATTATTGTGCTGCACTTTTCTTAGACCTTAGAGCTTTTGAAACTGTGGATCATGACATCTTGTGTCATAAGCTCTCAGAAATTGTTTTTTCAGATCACACCATTGGTTGGTTCTCTAACTATCTTTCAGAACAGAGGCAATGTGTTCAACGGTACTTCCTCCAGTTATTAATGGTCAGCAATGGTGTACCACAAGGCTCAGTCTTAGGACCCACCCTCTTTACAATCTACATATGTAATGTAGGTCAGAGCATCCCTGATGCATCCTTGCATTTCTATGCTGATGATACAGTTGTTTATTGTCAAGCTAAAACAGTTGCTAAGGCTTTCTAGCTTTTGCAGTCCGCTTTTGACATCATTCAGTCAGACTTGCTCCGTCTCAAACTTGTCCTAAATGCCGACAAAACCAAAGGGATGCTGCTTTCAAACAGGAAGTCGGTCCCAGTAGTTCTTCCTCTGATTTGATCCTTTAATGGTGTCCCTATTGAGGATAAGGAAACTGAAAGTTAAATTGGGTTTCATTTTCAGAAATAAATTTTGTCTAACTCTGAATACTAGGAAACAACTTGTAACTGCGACTTTCCTTCCCTCCATTGATTACGGTGACATTATTTACATGAACGCTCCTACCAGCACCCTGCAGATGTTGGATGCTGTTGATCATGGTGCACTAAGATTCATAACTGGCTGTGTAACTACAGTACCCATGACCTGTATTCACTGGTTAACTGGACATCATTAACTTCACGCAGATTCTCTCACTGGCACATTTTCATCTTTAAATCACTTCCTGGTCTGTTGCCTTCATACATCTCCTCCTACATGTGTCTGCGTGAGTGCAGCTACAGCGTGCGCTCTTAGGACATTATTACCTGCAGTGTTCCCTCAGTGAGGACTGAACTAGGCAAAAGGGCCTCCTCCTACTCCGCTCCTGTTTCCTGGAATATCTTGCAAAAAGATTTGAAACTATCGACCTTGACCTCTCTAAGTGGCTTTAAACATCTGTTAAGTTTCTGGCAAGAACCAACACAGACATGTTCCTGTTTTTAGTTTTATACACTGCCTCATAATCTAGCAGTTTTTTCGCTACTTTTCCTTTTAATCGTCCTTTTAATTACAATTTTGTTTTCATTTGTAAAAATAATAATAACTTAAATTTGTATGCATCGTGGCGCAACTGGTAGAGCTGCTGCCTCTCAACGAGCAGGTCCTTGGTTCAAACCCCAGTCCAGGGGCCTTTCTGGGTGGAGTTTGCATGTTCTCTCCGTGCGTGCGTGGGTTTTCTCCGGGTACTCCGGTTTCCTCCCACAGACCAAAAACATGCATGTTAGGCTGACTGGTAACTCTAAATTGTCCCTAGGTGTGAGTGAGAGAGTGAATGGTTGTTTGTCTCGTTTGTCTCTATGTGGCCCTGTGATGGACTTGTGACCCGTCCAGGGTGTGCCCCGCCCCTCGCACAGTGATTGATGGACATTGGCACCAGCGACCCCCGTGACCCAAAATGGAATAAGCGGGTAAAGAAAATGGATGGATGGATGGATGCATCCTTTGTGATTGTCTATTGTTGTCCACTGTTGTCATCACTTTTTGTTAAAATCAGGTCTCTCTTGTAAATGAGTCCTTTTGGCTCAGTGGGATTAACCTGTTTAAATAAATGTTGAATGAATGAATCTACTACTTGGGTAATGAGTGGGCATGGGATTTATCTGGGTTAACTGCATGAGACCCATATGGTTAACCTATAATGGAAGCCATATTGTTGGCCCATTTGGGCTAAATGTATAGGTCCTACTCAGCATTCAAGTGGGCTAACTGGGAATGGGACAGAAATGGGCAAAATTATATGGGACCCATGTGGTTTTGTAATGGGCCCAGCATGGAAAGCCCATGTGGGCTAACTGTATTTACCCCAAGTAGTATAAGCGTGGGCTGACCTCACATGGGTTGAACCTGGGCATGGATATATAAATAAGCCCCTGCTAATAGTATATATAAAAGTAGCAGCTGCTACGTTTTATTTTTATCCTTTGAACATGATTAAAAACATAAAACTAAATTCAATCGTAACTGTCCCCGTTTTTAATTTCATCTTGAAAACATTATTCTTTTTGGTCTCGGAGCTGGAAATGTCCAGATTTAATGTCAGAAATCTGGTCACCTGCAAGTACCAGACTGTATTATGTAATTCTTGCACATTTAGACAGAAGTTGGAAATATAGATACTTTCGTTTATGTTGATATGTGTTATTTTTGTTTGTGGGGAAATGATGAACAAAAATTGAACATAGGCTACTTTATTTTGACACTGCCACTACTTCCGGTTTCTTTCCCATCACTTCCGTTGCCGTTGCCGCGACACGAGACGTCAACAGTAATGTCTGACAAGGAGAAGCGGCGGTCCGCAGCGGCTCCTTCTGGGATGCCCGCGTGCAAAGCCGTCAAACCGGACAGCGACAAGGAGTTTCTGGCGCAGGCCGGGGTGGGAGACCTGCTCCTCGGAGCCATCCTAAAGATGGTCGAAGCCAGGTCGGACGACCCGGTCGGGTTCCTGGCCGACCACTTCTGCAACCTGGCCTCGGTGACAGACAGCTGCACAGCTGGATGCGGCGGCGAGGAGGAGCAGCTGACCAGCGGCCCTTCCAGCGCATGCGCAGTGGAGCAGCAGCGGCTCAACCGCGCGCTGTGGCACCTGAGGCTCGCGCATCACTCCCAGAGGTCCGGGACATTTTAAAGCTTTTTATTATGAGTATGTATGGACATAGCACGGATGAAATGAAAATACTTTAGCTTGACTTTGAGACATTTAATAACGATATTGCTAAATTTACTTTTTATTTTATTACAGAGTTTGTAGTTGTGAACATGCAGTGCTGAATGACTCTGCTGTGATTTGCTGAAGAACCTAAAATTAACGCACTCATTTTTCTTATTTACATTTTCCATCCAGATCAGCTTTCAGCAACAATGTCCGCGTGGCCTATGACCTTCTAAACATCCCTGGCTGTCAAAGACAAGCAGATGAAGGTGGACCCTGTTCTGATGGTGCCATCGGTGCAGGAGGAGGAGGAGTAAGAGGAGGCCTCTACACTCAGGCTTTGCAGTGTCTCTGCAGTGAGGGAGGTGTCCCTGCCTCCACCTCTGCCCCGCTCCTTCAGCGGCTCTGCTGCCAGGACCACGAGGCCGTCCCTTATGACGTCTTCCGCTACGGCGTGCTCACCTGCGCTGTTTTCTCGGACTACATCCGGCAGGCTCAGAGGCTTTATGCTGAAGTGTGCAGTCCGGATGAGGGGCCGGTGTCACGGGCCCTGTGTCTGACTGTGCTGGGGACCTTAAAGGAAGCTTTAGAGACCTCACAGGGCTGGGATGCAAACCGCTGTATTAATGCTAACACAAAAGCCAACACCTCTCTGGAGGCTAAAACAAAGGCTGTCCGCTTTTTGCAGGCCAGTGCCAAGATCTCCCCCCACAACCTGGCACATGCCATGGTGGGGGCACAGGCACGGGGGCCCGGTGGCAACATGGACGCAAAGGAATTTGAAAATGCAGCTGCAGAACTGTTCATCACTCGAGTGAAACTTGTGTCTTAAGTCAAAAACACTCAACAGTCTACTGTGTTAGATTCTTGTTACGTCTGACACTCTGCAGCCAAACTACACAAACAAACCAACAAATTAAAAGACACGTAACTCACTTATTCCGTTTTGTTTTTAAATTAAATAATTTGCTGCATCAATATGTTTTTAGAAACATTTCAGACTTAGAATTAAAATGTTGCTTCTTTTTCCTCTCTGTCACAATCCCTGCTTTTGAAGTTGTTGTTCTTCTTATAATGTTCACGTTTATTTTCAAACAGTGCAAAAAGATTTTTCAAAACATCTACAGCCATAAAGAATAAATCAAATTTTTGACTGATGTTTTTATTTCTAATGTTGTTTTATTTTGTACCTAGGCCTGTCGTGATAACTAATTTTGCTGGACGATTAATTGTCTCAGAAATTATTGCGATAAACGATAATATTTTCAAATTTAAGAAGAAATGTTGGTTATTTTTTGTGTATTACATTTTTACTGTTTGAACTTAAGGATGGATAGTGAGGGAGCAAGCAGCGTGTCTTTTTTTTTTTTAATGGGAGGGAGGCCTCTTGACGTGACATGGGCTGTCTCTCCTTCCTGTTTTTCGGTTGTTAAAATGGCGGACGCTCGATGTGGTTTGAGCTCTTTAGCATAGCATTTGTCACACAAAACTTTTAATTCAAAATCAGTAAACAAGTTCTCAGCTTCTTTTTGCAGAGAATAACAATTTTTACACGAAGGCACGGGTTTCAACCGTGAATTTTTTTGAGCTTTGACAAGACGGAGGTTTTTCCTGAGGTCGGCCTGTTAGCTTAGCTCGTAGCTTAGCTTCTCAGCTGCTTTTAACAATCCAAAAACGTGATTTTGGATGGTTAAAACAAATTTTAAATAGAAAGGGAGAGGTCAGTGAAGAGCACCGGAGTTGAGCATTTTGTCATCCAGTGTCTTCAGTAGAAAGAGAGACACGAAGAAAAGATAAAGCCGATAAATGAAAACGAGGTATATAATTTTCATTTATCGTGTGATTAATTGATTTATTGTTTATCGCGACAGGCCTATTGTATCCTCAAGTCTCACACCCTGACTAGTTGGAGCAAGGTCAAGTTCTTTATTGTCATTCGCATGCATGTGGTGCATGCATAGATATAAACACTAGATGCCTCATTGGCTGCTGCGGGGCAGGATTTTCGGCCGCCATCTTGGAGCGGTCGTCCTTATTTGGTTAAAGCAGATGTTTCAGCACTTCGCAGCTTATTTCTGTTCTAATCGACGGACTGTTGACGTCAGGTCTCGGGGGATAACTTTTCACAAGTAAGATGAACATAGTATTGTTAGTATTTTGTGAATATAATATTACTGTACTGTATTTATGTCCACCAGCTGATGTGATGTTCAGTGTAACACGGTGTTCAGCTGCAATGAAGCTGACTGAGATCTGATGACAGGAATATTTTTCCAACAAGCTTACTCACAATTTCAGCAGCTTTGGTTCATTATCAACAGATATGCACTGTATCATAATTGGAGTTTTGTTTAAGTTCTAGGAAATGAAAAAATAAAACTGGGGAGAATATAGGAAATAGAAAATAAGCTTGACCTCCTCTGTACAATGTTTTTGTGTAGACACAAATCTCCTTTTTTCATTTTGAAAGTTTCCCAAAGAACAAGATGTGAGGAAGAGGAGGAAGTATCTTTGAGGAGGATTCTTCTGAGCAGAGAGGATTTTAAACTGGAGGATTTTGATCAAACTGATCAGACTGTCTGAGAGATGGTGTGGTACCATCGGTTCACCTTCAAAAGAGTAGGTGCATCATTATAAGTTCATTAACGTTCATAAAGTTACATATTTTATTGTCAGTCACAAGGTGAGACACCTCCATGTGTTTATATGAACAGGTAACTATAGACTGTAAAGTTCATATTCATGATGTTTTTTCATTTCAGCTTGAAAACTGCAGGACTACAGGAACTCAACAAAAGCTGGAGCTGCTCTGTCTGTGGCCTCTCAGGAACGTGCACGTCACACACACACAACCTCGGCCAAATGATGTGAGTATTTCTATTTTAAACTTTTATTTTTTCATTGACCCTTTATTTTTACAGGTAGTCTCATTGAGTCACGAGAACTAATTTTCTAGAGAGACCTGTTTAGGAGCAGATGGTGGGGGTTGAGTGCCTTGCTCAAGGGCCCAATGAGGGTGGAGGCAGGTGTGGGTGTTTCACCTTTTCCACCCACATTTTGATGTTGACGGTACCGGGAGTTGAACCTGCGACTTTCCAATCACAGGCCCATCTTCTAACCTCTGCGCCACCACTCCCCCACATAACATCATATCATAATGGTCATGGCCAAATTAAAATCTCACTGGTTTCCTTCCAGATGTGTTAAACAGCTACTGGTCCTCCTTGTTAGGATTGCGCGAGGAACCCAGATGATTTGAGACCCAGAACGAGGCAGACACAGGGGAAGTACAAAAGAACAGAGTTTATTTATTTACAGTGAAACTAATCCATGCGCTGCTTCTCTGCAACTCCTGGAAAGAGGGGCGACAGGTTAATAGTTGGTCCAGGGGGGACGACCTGAGTGGTTTGTCTGAAGAGCGTCTTGTTCTTACAGTCCAAATCCGAAGGAGGGGAGCTGGTCCTTCAGTCCAAGGAGTGAGCAGCGGAGGGACATCCAACGAGGGTCCAGGGGAACGAGGAAGGCTGGCAACTGGAGGCAAAAATGGCACGAGGGATACCTGACAGGCCGAGGGATCCAGATCAGGTCACGAGGAGATCCAAAAAACACGAGGAACCAGGAAACTGGAAAAGAGAACACAGGTGAACAAATTCTTTTCACCTAGACATATCTAGCTCAACAGTACTATACCATGAGAGGTGATATGCTCCAGCGATGAGTCACACTGGGCTGCAGCCTTTTGTAGATGGAGAGGCTCATCAGGCTGATAGCCGCCAGGTGTTGTTAACCAGCGGCCATCAGCAAGGCAGGCTGCAGGCAGTGGGACCCTTACACTCCTGATGTTTACAGGTGGCTGTGATCAGTGGATGAAAAGCCTGGCATGAACAAGATGATGCTGGAGATCATCATTTGACGAGAGCTCCCACCTTCTAACTGTGAAGAACAACAGCAGCTCAGTGATTCCCTCAAGGCTCAGTGAAGGTGCTGAGAGCTGCAGAGAGGCTGATTCATGGAGCTTCAACACAGCAACCTCCAAACATGTCCACCCTCACACACATCGTCCATGAAGAGACTGGACCAGAGCACAAGATAATAAGACACTGATAACAACAACAACAATAGACATGCACAAATGATTCATACATTTTTTTTATTGTTTGTTTGTTTTACAATTGAAAAAAGAAAACAGCCTTCACATCAATGTGAAGAAGACAAAGGAGATGATTGTGGACTTCAGAAGGAACAAAAACACCTACACCCCCCTGAACATAAGAGGATCTGCGGTGGAAGTGGTCTCCAGCTACAAGTACTTGGGTGTACACATGAATGACAACCTCATCTGGGGCAACAACACCACCAGCCTGATCAAGAAAGCTCATCAGAGACTCTACTTCCTCAGGCGGCTGAGACGAGCTGGTCTGGGAAGCTCAGTCCTCACCTCCTTCTACAGGTGTGCAGTGGAGAGCATCCTGTGCTCCAGCATCCACGTGTGGCATGGAGGCTGCACAGCTGCAGAAAGAAAAGCTTTACAGAGAGTGGTGAAGGCTGCACAGAAGACTGTTGGAGTCAGTCTCCCCACCATCACAGATATCTACACCTCCAGATGCAGGAAGAGGGCCACCTGCATCATGAAGGACCCCACTCACCCAGCACACACACTTTTTGTCCCGCTCCCCTCAGGAAGGAGGTTGAGGAGCATTAAGGTCGTTTTCACACCAGATAGTCCGGTAGACTCGGTTCGGGAAGTTCTAGAATTTCACCGCTCAAGGTGGCTGCATGTTGGAGCAGCTCTGTTTCTTTCATTCTGAGATTTTGCTTTTGGAAACTTTAATTTTTCTTTTTCTGGATGTAAATCACATTTTTTGGATGATTGGTTCCTCTGGTATCGGATGCTTTGCAGCTGGATGGAGTTTTACTGAAACATTTTTTAGTTTTGAACATTTGTTATGATGCGTAACCATGGCAACAAGGCAGTTTTCTACAACCAACAGCAGCTGATTAACATCTCAAAAGCTCAAATAATATCTCAACTACAGCCCAAAATCTCAAGTGAGTTGAAAAGGATGTTCTGTGGATGTATTCTCATCTACCTGCCAGCTGTGCTCGAGTCCCTGACCACTGACATCCTGGAACTAGCAGGAAACACGGCTCATGACAGGATCATCCCTCGGCACAAACAGTTGGCTGTACGCAGCGACGAGGAGCTCAGCAGTCTGCTGGGAGGAGTGGCCATCACTCTGGGAGGAGTTCAGCCCAGCATTCGGGTGGTCCTACAGCCCGGAGGAACCGAGAGGCCAGCTGAGTCTGAGTGGACGGATCGGACGGCATCTGCAGCCAGTTTCTTAGAATCCACTGTGGGATGGACCTTTACAAGAGATCCTTCCTGCCTACAGCCATCAGCATCTATAACATCTCTTAATGAAATGAGGATTATGAGTTACAACAACAAATAATTTTCCCTCTGGGATTAATAAAGTATTTTTTGAAATTAATTGAATTGATATATATATAAAGGACATTATTTTCCATAATGTAATGATAAAAATGAAACTTTCATATATTTCAGATTCATTGCACACCAACTGAAATATTTCAGTTCTTAAACAGTTTTAATAGTGATGATAATGGCAGCTCATGAAAACCCAAAATTCAGGTGTGCTTTGCTCCATTGGGAAGAAGGTCGGGGACAGAAGTTCAAACAGGTCCAACTCTGTCCAAGAATCCTCCACAGGGGGGAGAGTTAGGGACAAGGGCTCACAAGTTCCTGGTTCAGTCAAAGGGTGTCTTGCAGGATAGAGAGTTAGGAACATTTGTTCAATCGGGTCCTGCTCTATCAAAGGGTCCGTCAAAGAGAAGACAGCTGGGGAGAAGTGTTCAAACAAGTCTTCCTCCGTCCAAGGGGGAGAGTTGGAGACAAGGGCTCACAAGTTCCTTGTTCCATCAAAGTGTCTCTTGCAGAGGAGACAGATGAGAAGGGAGGGTTGGACATGTCCTCCAAAGGCTCTTCCAGAAACTGCTCTGGAAATACGCTGACGTCTTCTCGCTCTATTGACTTCAGAAAGTTTTTCGTGTCCTCGCTGATCTCCATGATGGAGGCAGATCTTCTGAGCTCTGAAGAACTCGAGGGATGAACTGAGCACTCGTGTGGATTTCTGTGACACACAACGATAGAAAGCTGATTTAGAACCTGTGACATGTGGATCAGAGCATACATGAAACAAACATGAACAGGGAACACAGAGAAGTGTTTCTTGTTGCAAGGAGGAATGAGACAAATTGTCTTTTCAGTGAACATGTAGTGTCAATGCCAAGTTTAAAGTAACGTTGCTGAATTTTGCTAAAGAAGCTGAAAGCAAGCTGAAAGCTAAAAGTAGCTAACAGCTAGCCCAATGCTAAAAGTATCAAAATGCTAAGTAAATACCAAAAGTAGCCAACTTTACTTAAAAGTAGAAAAGCACTACACACAAGTTGTGACATGCTAGCTGAAAAAGCAAAATAAAAATAACACAATTCTGTATAAAATTAACAAAAGGCTAGCTAAAAGCTAAGAGCAGCTAACTAGAAGTACTGGAAAGATCAAAACAATAAAAATAGTTGCTACATAAAACAAAATGCTACCTAAAAGATAACAGCAGTAAAAGGCAAATGAAAAGTAGCAAAAAGTAGTAGCTAAAAGCTAAAAGTAGCAACCATTATAAAAACAAACAAACAAAGGTTTTAGAAGAGTTGGAAGGGATGTCAGTTTATAAATGGAAGATTGTTTTGTCAGTAAAGTTAAATCTTTTTAAAAGTAGAAAAGTTTTAAAGTCTTGGCACTCGTCTCCTGAACAAGATGAAGCTTTTGACGTGTAAACATTTAAAGTATGAAACAAATAGTTTGATGCCAACAACCAAAGAAAATGAACAGCAGGAAACCAATGGTGGGAACGCTGACTCATCGTTCACACAAACATCACACATACTGTTACTGTTAACACTCTGAGAAACAGTTCATACAAAGAGACACACGGCCATTAAAGTACACAAGCGGTAAACTTCAGAGTCTTAAACTTGAACTAAAATGCCACTTCTACTTGTAAATTTACCAAAACATACATAATTTAGATAACCTTGGAGCAAAACCATGTAAAGAAACGATCATAAAACTGTTTAAACAGAGTCAGTCTGCATCGTGTTCATGTCACACTGTAGCCCTTTACTGTATGTAAAAATCATTTATTTGACTGTTACTCTTCGTTAAAGGTTATTACACATG